GAAATTTTCCTTCCTGAATGCATCATAAGTGACAATGCCGTCATTCCATAAAATCTTCAAATCATCAATAAGAGGCCTCAGGAAAACATCTATGTCATTTCCTGGACCTTTTGGGCCCGGAATGAGCAATGACATGAAGATGTACGGACTCTTCATGCACATCCAAGGAGGGAGGTTGTAGGGAAAGACAAGAACAGGCCACAAGCTGTAATGATTATTCATATTTCCGAAAGGATTGAAACCATCGGTAGCCAATCCCAATGTGACATTTCGAGGATCACTAGCAAAGGATAAACTAGCTTCATCAAGGGCCCTCCAAGCCTCGGAGTCTGCAGGATGTCTTAAGAATTCATCCTTTGAGCGTTCTTTATGATGCCATACCATATACTCAGCAGTCTGTGAGGACATGAATAACCTCTGCAACCTCTTTCCAATGGGAAAGTATCTTAAAATTTTCCACGGTATCTTTTTCACCTTCCCTTTGCTATCCTTGTAAACTGACTTGTACCTGGAAGCTGAACAAATTTCACATCTAAGAGCATTCTTGTGTTCTGCATAATAGATGATGCAGTCATTTTTGCAAACATGTATTTCTTCATAATGCAGTCCAAGATCTTTGACAATCTTCTTAGCCCCGTAATAATTTTTTGGCAAGAAATCAGCCGACGTTGGTAATGTCTCACGGACAGTCTTCAACAGCATAGTGAATGAGCTGTTACTCCAACCATTCAAGCACTTGATATGCATCATCTTGATCAAAAAGGACAAATTTGAATGCTTCTCACAGCCAACGGACAATGGCTTTTCTGCCTCACTAAGAAGTCTAAAGAACTTTTTGGCTTTTACATTAGGCTCTTCTGGTTCATTTACACCATCGTTGTCCCAACCGAAATGTGGTCTCAAATCATTTAGCAATCCTTGTATATCATCTGTCTGCATCTCATTTTCTTCTTCTTCAAACTCATCAGAGGATGAATCAGTGGGGTCATCACGCTCCCCATGATGCTCCCACTTAGTATAATCTCGCTTGATTCCTCTGTATAGAAGGTGTGATTGCACTTGAGTCCTTTCCCTCCTATACAAATTGTCACAATCTACACAAGGGCACTTAATCTTCATGTCTTCCTCGACCACATTAGCAAATGCATAGTCAAGAAAGCTTTCGACTCCATTCAAATATTCTAAGCATGATCTGTTTCGGAGTTGCATCCACGATTTATCAATTGAAGCCATGACTGCATATAAAACAGTTAACAAGTTAAATTGACTCCAGCAAATTGGCAGCAACGACCACATTAGTTAATACAACAGTTAACAAGTTAAATTGAATCAAGCAAATGCGCAGCAAGGACAACAGTTAACAAGTTAAATTGAATCAAGCAAATGGGCAGCAAGGACAACAGTTAACAAGGTAAAAATAATCAATTGACAAGTTGAATCGACCTCAACATTCTATCGACCCCTGACGCTGCAAATTTTAGAAAACCGACGATCAAACTAGCAGCCTAAAATCCAATGTTTATCAACTGAAGCATACAATGAAAACAAAATTCCATTGACAAGTTGAATCGACTCCCTATACCGCAAATTCAAGCAAACTGGTCTAAACATTGGCAAACATAATGCAAAAATAGTTTTGAAAGAACAACAAAAGGACAACAAGAAAACAACCCACTGTGTGAATGATATTCCCTCATTCATAAGTCATTTCATCATCAATAAACAACAAGAAAACAGAAACAATTGGGAGTTTCAGACTTTCAGTAGCTGAGATTATTCAACTAGGAATTTCTCTCTTACGAGTCTTTAAGGGCTAACTGCTTAGTGCTTACCGTCTCCTTTGATTCTTTGTTTTAGTTCTCTGCAGCGACACTGAGCAAGTTCAAGCTTTGAGGATTTGTTCTTTGGTAGTTCTCTGCATTTACAACAAGTTCAATGGACAACAAGTTTAGTCGACAATTGAACAATGAAATTATGATAAGACTTGAGCCTTGAACAGGGGAATCCGGGAAGGGCTTACTTACCTCTTTACCGCACGATTGAGCAGGTGCAGTCGTGAAGAACATCAGCAAGGCAAGCGGCAGGCGGCGGACATCTTGTTATTCAATCGTCGAAGGACGGCGGGACAGCGGGACTAGGAGTTGGAGAGTAGGGAAGACGGCGGGACTGGGATTTGGTGGGAAGAGAAGACGGCGGGGGGCAATCCTCGTCTCGGCAGAGGGGGTGTCCCTTTCGTACAGCAGAAACAAACAAATCAATTGATTTTAGGGATCGAGAGAAAAATGGGGATTTTTAATATAACTGAATCTGTAGACGGTATAAATATATTTATGTTCCAATTCTTACAAGGATTCTGTGGTAGCCGAATGGTTAGCAAGTTTGTTTGTAACAGCGGTGTCCTGGGTTCAAATCTTAGTGAACACTATGCACTTTTTTTTTGGAACTCCTGGGTTCAAATCTTAGTGAACACTATGCACTTTTTTTTTTTGGAACTCCTACTATTACCGGGGGTTCGATATTTTTTTTCCTCAAAATTTTGGGGTGTCCCGGGACACCCTTACCTTACCTTTGGGTCCGCCCCTAGACGATTCCGTCGGAGTTACATTTCACGGTAATTACGACATTTGTGCTAGAGGCGATCTCAAACAGACTTGTATATAGGAGTAAATCTTAACATATATATGTATAGAAGTGAATTCCGATATGTATACATGAATTGCACCATCCAACTGGCGTTCTGCCCCTAGACGACTCCGTCGGAGTTACATTTCACGGTAATTACGACATTTGTGCTAGAGGCGATCTCAAACAGACTTGTATATAGGAGTAAATCTTAACATATATATGTATAGAAGTGAATTCCGAGATGTATACATGAATTATACCATCCAACTGACGTTCTGCCCCTAGACGACTCCGTCGGAGTTACATTTCACGGTAATTACGACATTTGTGCTAGAGGCGATCTCAAACTGACTTGTATATAGGAGTAAATCTTAACATATATATGTATAGAAGTGAATTCCGAGATGTATACATGAATTACACCATCCAACTGGCGTACATAACCTAGACAATTCCGTCAGAGTTACATTTCACGGTAATTACGACATTTGTGCTAGAGGCGATCTCAAACTGACTTGTATATAGGAGTAAATCTTAACACATATATGTATAGAAGTGAATTCCGTGATGTATACATGAATTACACCATCCAACTGGCGTACATAACCTAGACGACTCCGTCGGAGTTACATATCATGGTAATTGCGGCATTTGTGCTAGAGGCGATCTCAAACTGACTTGTATATAGAAGTAAACCTTAACATATATATGCATAGAAAGTGAATTCCGAGATGTATACATGAATTACACCATCCAACTGGCGTACATAACATAGACATTCCGTCGGAGTTACATTTTACGGTAATTACGACATTTGTGCTATAGGCGATCTCAAACTGACTTGTATATAGGAGTAAATCTTAACATATATATGTATACAAGTGAATTCCGAGATGTATACATGAATTACACCATCCAATTTACATACATAACCTAGACGACTCAATCGGAGTTATATTTCAAGATAATTACGACATTTGTACTCGAGACAATGTCGATATTCGTTGTAGTTGTGACCTCGTTGAAGTTATATTTTAAGGTATTAAAGAAATTTTAATCTACTTGTGAAGAAATACATAGATTAAATTAAGAGAGAAATACAATACAATAGAAAACATTTATTCTACTTTTTTTTTACAGAAATACATTACATTGCTTTGGCCCATCCCTAGTTCCACGAGAGACGAAACCAAAGGGGAAAATAAGGGAATTAATAGAAAACATAAATTGAATCATTAATAGAAAATATCAAATAAAATAATTATCTCCTCATTAGTCATCCCAACCACATATCTCGCGTAGCAGTGGAAGAAACCTAAAACTACTTCCCTTCTCTATCCGTTCCTCTCTTCTTTCTTTCTCATATCACGCCCGAGTCGGAGGTTTTTGGGGGAAGTACTTTAAACGTGGTTGTCGCTAGAATTTGGGGAGATTTGGCGGGATAAATCCAATGGAATTAGCAAATTGGCGGGCGATTGAATTATTTCTCCCAAAGAGACGATTAAGATCCTGGGTTATTATAAAATCAATACTGGATGAGAAGGAGAAGCTAGTCCGAGACTCTCTAAAGGTAATCTCATAAACCCTAGGTTGTTTTTCCATTCAGCGTACTCTGCTTTTTCTATTATCCACTTTTACACTATTTAATCATGTTATAAAGCGTCTGTTGTGTTGCAGATTCACTATTTTTGTGAGAAGGATCACAAGGTCTCATATAACCAGTTCTGCACAAGGTGATTTTCGATTCTTTTTCTAGCAATCAGTCAATATTTCAACTTGATTTAGTTATAGGGTTCATTTGTTTTGGCTTTCTGGGGTTTTGAATAAGAGGAAGAACCAGAACATGGGTTTATTAGCTTCGTGTTTTCATTTGTACATGAACAAGGGGAAGAAACAACCTTGGTTATGGGTTTTCATTTTTTTTTTTTTTTTGCTTTATGGGTTCACGAAATTTAGTGTCGGATTCTGCCCTTCCACAAACCATGTACAATTGGGTGTGTCTGATGTGCAGTACATACTACCATACCAGGTTGAAAGTTAAGCCCGCCACTCCAATATATAAACCTCCATTGAAGATGGTAATGGTGGAGAATTAGGGCATGATGGGGGATAGATTCCCCCCTTAATAGAATTTGGCTCGGTATAAAATGAGTATTTTTTTGGTTGAACCATCAGATTAATTTCGTGTCTCTAGCAATGGCACCAATTTTTGTTTAACTGTGAAGTTCATAGGGAACCCAGTTTGTGAAGGCTAAGGGTGGAACAGAATGGTTATGTATGGCTTTCATATGGGTTATGGAGTTCTTTCTGTTTTGGTTTCCTCCCTTACGTTTTGGCTTAATCCCAACCTTATTAAAGTTGTGTTGCCCTTGTAGATGGGGAAGTCAGGGAAATCAGTGAAGGTTGACAAGTCTGGGAAGTCTCACAAGGTTGGGAAGGCTGGACAGAAACGTAAGTGTCGGGAGAGGGAAGGCGAAAGGGTGGAATTGGTGGAAGCTGTGACCGAACACGAAGAGTTTACGCCTAATGGATCATCTTCAGAGGCTCCTGCAAGTGAAAGATCAACTGCTCCATCAATTGGGGAAAGTAGTCAACTTGGTAAATATCACAATACATGTTAATTGTCCACAACTGAGTTATATTTAAACAAAATCAATCTTAATTGCCCTTGTACCTCTTTTTAGCTACCGCAAAGAGTAAGAAAGTTCGAGGCAAGGGCAAAGGAGTTAAGCCGGGGCACAACATAGCTCTTGAAATCTATGATAAGATGTCTATATAATTGATGACAACTTGTATGTTTCTTATCCATGCTCTTCATTTTATGTGATTTTTGTGAGTCAAATGTTATATGTTTCCCCGACTTGGGAATTTTCATCTTCTGTGAGACATTTTCTTTCCCTGTAGCTGGCATTTTGGTATTTTGTTATGCTTTGTATTTTGCTTTGTTGGGTGCTACTTTGTATTTTTGCTTTGCTAGGCACGTTTGTGCTACTTTGTATTTTTGCTTTGCTGGGCACCTTTCTGCTTGTTTTTTCTAGGCCTGTTGTTTGTATAGGCTGTTTTTTGTATAATTTGATCGTCATTGATTCCATTTTCAGGATAATCACACCACCGGTTGTTCATGAAATCAGTAAAATCTTCCACCAACATATCAATGGTCCATGGACAACATTCTCGCAGTTTCCTAAAGAAGAATTGGATGCGTTATATGCACGTTTCAAGGAAGCAGGCTTCAACTGTTCACTTCCAGAAGAAGAAGTGGAGCAAGCTGTTAAAAACTATGTCAAGATGCAATATGGAAAATGGATGTTTGCCCTTCGAAATGAAGTATTTTCCAAGTTTAGGTCATTGAGTGATATCTACAAGAATCCTCCTGCATCTATAGCTCCTTCTGTTTGGAAGGAAATGGTCGATAAATGGAATGCTCCGACATGGAAGGTATGATTCGATTCATAGGATTAAATTGAACACTTAGTTTTCATTATTATTCTAATTATTATCCATTCATTGTTGTAGGAGATAAGTAAGAAAAATAAGCAAAATAGAGCCAAAAGTGAGCTGATTTCAACTGGTGGTTCTGTACCAGCGGCAAAATATAGATCTGATATGGTATTTATTTGTCATGAACTTATATTGCACCTTTAATTTTTGTACTATCGAGTCTAAGTTTAGTTGTTCCTTTGTAGAAAAAGATAACTGGACAAGAGCCAACTCCAATGGATCTATGGAAACGGCAGCACATGAAAAAGAACAAAGAGTTCAGTACCCCAAAGGCTCAAGAGATTAATGTATGGTTTTTGTCTTTTATCTTTATATGTCTTATTTCCTCGTTACGTATGTTGCTTTCTATAGTCTTGTTAATGATGTATGGTGCTTTAAGGATGAGATGGAAAAAAGAGTTGCTGATGCTCGGGCTAAAGGTGAAGAACCCAATCATTGGGACATATATCGCCAGGTTGTTGGGGAGCCACGCAAAGGTCGAGTACTTGGGATGAGTTTGGGAGTCACAGCAGCAGATGTTTATGGCTATGCCTCAACAGATGGTTGTAGTAAACGCTGCTAAGAAGATCGCTTAAAAGAGAAAGAAAAGAGTGATGCAGTCATCAAAGAATTGCAAGAAAAGATAGTATCGGGGGAAAATTCAGTTCCTCAGCTTGTTCAACCTGCCTTGATGCAGTTTGGTATAACGGTATGAAACATGTTACAATGCGTACTATTTTTACTTATAGAATTCTTTCTTAATCTTATTCTTGTTAATGTTTAATAGGTTAACATGACCAGCCAAAGTGGAGATGAAAGTGACGAAGACAGCAGTGACGAAGAAGAAGGAGAAGAAGAAGAAGAAGAAGAAGGAGGAGGAGGAGGAGGAGAAGGAGGAGAAGATGAAGAATATGAAGAAGAAGAAGACGAAAATTTAGAATACGACTCAGATAATTAAGATTGATATTTTGTTTTTTTATTGGACTAGTTTTCATATTCATATTTCTCTATTTTATGTTTATCAAATATTGGTCAGATAGAATATTATTACTTATAACATTTGGAATATTTAATTTTTTAGATTACCTGGTTTTGTCAATATAGTCTCTTTGTTGCAAATCAACATATTTCTGACAACCATATTTTGTCAAAATAATTAATCTAGTGAAAGAAAACATATCGTCGCTAATAGTATAGTATCTTTTCGTCAAACTAATTAAATTAGTGATGGCCACATATCATCGAGAACAATATTTTTTCGACAAACTACTTATTTTGGTGACGGCTACATATCATCGCGAACTGTATTTTTTTGTCAAACCAAATAATTTAGTGACAGCTACATATCATCGCTAATAGTATTTTTTTCGTCAAGATTAAGTAACGTCGCAAATATTGGAATCCTTATTTGTGATATCTCTCGTTCGTCGTAAATATAATATTTGTGACAATGTTAAATTGTCCCAAATATCATTAAACGTCGTCCTAAAAAATGTATTACCGATGACTTTATTAATTATAGAGACGGATATGTATCGTCATAAATAGGCAACGTCGTCAAAAAAAGTATCATCGATGACTTTTTTTATCATAGCGACGACTATATCTCGTCAGAAAAATGGACAATGTCGTCAATCTTCGTCAATGAGAATTTATTACTAACGAGATTGTTAATTTTTCCGACGATTCTTTGTCGTCACAAAAACTAAAACTGGTTAGTTCGTCAATTTGAATAGGCATTAGAGATGACTCCAAGCCGTCGCAAAATAGCTTTTACGACGGCTCGTCACAAAGAAAGCTTTTGTGACGCTCGTATTTGGAACGGCGCTCGACGGCCTCATGTCGTCGCAAAATCCCATTTCCACGAAATTTGGCATTTATTGACGTAAACCTCTGGTCACTAATGACATGCTTTTTTGTAGTGATTGTTCGTTACTTGCTTTACGTTTTTATTAGGATGCTCTTTGTTGGTGTTTCCCTGCCACGTTCCTTAGTTAATGTTCTGTTATATGGTGAATTGGTGATGGACAGGTAGTTATCTGGATAGTTAACGCGAGGGATTCGTCGCACACGGTGAAAGGGGTTATCCTACAAGAGATTCAATGTTACTATTATCATTTGAGCGTACTACGTTTCATTTACGCTACGCTGGTATAATAAAGCTACCCATATCGTGGCAAACACAAGTCCTTTCATCGTTGGCTGGTACACTTGTGCACCAACATTTTTTCTTCTTATTTTCGTAATGTGATCTAACATGCAAAGATCTTATATATTTTCGTATCTAACATGTTTCTCCATTAAGAATATCTAAGGAGAAATATGTAAGATCTAATTTCAAAAAATCACTATTAGTTTTATATCTATATTATTCTTTTCCAATAAAATAATTTTTCCTTCTCAAATAATCTACCATAATTCAGGTTTTAGTTTCAGAATTAAGCAAAAGCTTCAGCTAAGCAGGTTTACATTTTTAGGATTTGTTTATTAGGAAACGGTAGCTTTGTTTCCATCATGGTTTGTTTTATGTTGTCAAAATCACAAGAAACGGAAAATAAAAATAAATAGGCTATTATCTATAGAAGACCTATAAATTTTTCCCTAATTAATTTTAATTATCTATAATCTTTCATTTTAAATTATAATTTATTTATTTTCAAAGATAAATCAGATTAATTGTGCTCATCAAACTAATATACAGTTTGATATGTTTTGGAATATTATTTTTTTTAGATATTTATCACAAGTTCGTATCATTTTTTTTTTTTTTGAAATGGATGATCACTAAGATAACTACTAGGCAAGGCCCAAAAAGGAAATGTACAAGCGAACAATGTAACAGGATTGAAAGAAAATCCCAAACAACTAGGCCGAAGACAATCCCAGCAATCCAATAGGGCCCGGGCCCAGGACCAAACAAGAGTGAGCCCTTCCCCAACCCTATCTACACGCTCCCCCTCTGTTTTCCTACCACCGCCGTGGCCGACGACCGCCACTGCACCCATCCAAGCACCGCCACCCACAGAAGAGCGCCACCGCCAGCCATGTACAGTTTGGGCACCCACCAAACCCGAAAGGCAAGAAGAGGAGGGAAGTGCCTCCGACCATCCCACCCCGAGCCGGTCACTACGCACATTCCGCCGTCATAGCCAAGGAGAACCAACCGAGCAACCGGACAGTCGGTGGAGGAGACAGAGAGTTAGAATACATTAGTCTTCAAGCTCTCCCAACCGGATCCACGCCAAGGGCTGCATCTCTGAATCGCCAAGATCTGCAAGGCAAAACAAGGAGGTAGACCAAAGGAGAAGAGAGGAGAGGAGAAGACAAGCCGGATCCTAATCAGATCCGACCTCCATCGCATCTTGAACCAAGAAACCATCTCCAGATCTCGAAACCAAATTGGAGGACAAAAACTTCAACCCACACGCGGGGGGCAAAAGATCTCTCCAAAGGAGGAAGAAAACATACTACAACAGGGGAAAGAAAGGGCCTTTGCATGGCCAGAAAAGCTAAAACGGAGAAGGAAAAAGAAATGCCAAAACACTAGACATGGAAGGCGCACAAAGGAAAGCAAGGGGAAAAAATAACTTGGGCTAGGCCACCGCCGCTCACATGGGAGCCGACGGTGACCCTTGATGAAGAATGAAAAGGGAAAAGTTAGAGAGAAGGCATATAATTTTGAAATAGAGAGAGAAGGGTTATTTTTCTAGGTAACATTCCACAAGTTCATATCATGATGGTAATGTTTGGTAGTACATACAATTATACCATGGTGGTATGAATATAAGATAGTGTAGAATGGTTGATTATATGATAGTAGGAATGTATTGTCATTTGCAACCTTTCATCACGGTCTACCACCACTTACCACCTTATGCTAGGGTGGTACAAGCATAGCATAGCTAGGATTTCAACTAAGATAGGTCCATTTGAAAAAAAAATATACTTGATAAAATAGTTTTTTAACTATTCTAATCAACCATTCTCAATTAGAAGCACTCTATTTTAATTACCTATTAAACGTAATTTTTTAATTTACTTCTTGGTCACCACCCTATTACACTCTCTCCTTCTCCCATGGTGCAAAATTTGTTGTTGATATTGAATAAGTGCACTATTCATTTTGAGTGAATCATATATGCACACTTGTCACTAATATGTAACTCATTACAATTTTTTTGAATATGTCAGTACAAAATATGTAAATCATACACCAAATATTTATAAAGTTAACCATTCTCAATTATATATAACCATTCTCAATTATATATGCCCTAATTATAATTAATAATTAAATATTATACCTAATTTACTTATTTTTCTCCCGAATCAAGGTGGACTCCGGGACCTACTCTATATACTCTGCCTCCATACTTGGGTATATTTGATCCTAAATTCTTTTCTCCAAAATTTGTAGATTAAATAGATCACGATAAACTCGTCCCTTCTGAAATTTCTTTTCAAATTTTGATTGAAAACGAAGGTGGTACCAAGTGGTACCAAGTGGTACGAAAAATAATTTCTCCAACTATATTAAAAATGTATATAATTTATTAGATGATTACGAACTTGCTCCGTCTGTGCAATTTTTTTGAAATCCAAGTTAAAACAAAGTAGATAAAAATTGATTAAAAAAGTAGGAAATGTTCATTTAGTCTCACCCCTTAGATTTGACCCGCTTGATAAAAAGCCCAGATCTAGTCATACAAGTATGCATAACCAAAAATTATGCACTCTATCTTAAAAACTTGTAATTGTTCTAAACTAATAATTTAAGGGAAAAGATGATCCATCCTCTTCATTTAACTCAAAATAATAATAATAAATTTTGTAGAACACGATGTCTTTATGATATAATCGTGAGTCGATATAATCGTGATACTATGATCCATCCTCTTTATTTTAACTCAAAATAATAATATAAAATTGTGTAGAAATAACGCATTTATTAAGATTTACACATTGATATCCTTTTTGTTATGGTTTGTCAAGCATAAGATCTAATATTAATATCGTATCACTGTCAAATGATGATATTATAATCATACCATAGTAATGATATCATTATAGGACAGTGATATGATGTAATCAAATTATTTTGTCAAACAAAAGATCTCATACTATCATATGAGTGTCATACCACCATCACTAATTAAGTTATACACAATTATATTTTGTCTCATACTAATATCATAGTGATAATATCATGATATGACACTAATATGATGTTTTGTCAAACATAAGAACTCATACCAACATCATATCGTTATCATACCATTGTCAGTGGTAATATCGTGATATGACAGTGTTATAATTGTGTATGAGTTTATCAAAACAATAAATCTGGTTTTTCTTTGCAATATTTATTTTAAATCTGATGTAAAATGAATGCGCTATTGTCCATTGAATTTTTGTATGAGATTTGAAAAGTGACTTTACAATGCCATGGGAATCCGTGCGCTCCATCCAAAATCCGGCAAGCTATCCCCAAAATCCGGTTAGCCTTCTCTCCTCCCTCATACTTTCCTTTCTTACCCTTCTATGATATGAACCATTAGATCTTATCTTCCCAAATTACGATCATTGGATTATATTTTGTAGAGCTACAAAATTAATGGGTTTTGTACCCTAACCCAAGCTATAATTTAGTCCATCAATGTAGAGAGATAACTAAAACCTCGTATAGATCCCGTGCAGGAAGTGCAAGGTAATTGCTTGTTGTAAAAAATGGACTAAATTGCGGGAGCGGTTCATGTGAATAAATTTGTGGGGCACAACCATGTATAACCTGCCACATCAGTGTAATCTCACCATTTATGAAAGGCTTTAAACTTTTTCCCTCTAAACTTTAACGAGCTGGATCTCTTTCATTTTAAGTTTAAAAAAAATTCACAGATAAATAAGATAATTTGTGCTCTTCAAAATCATATTCACTTTGATATATTTTGGAATAAATGTTATTAGGAACATATAAGCCTATACAATGGTTGAAATACATGTTATTAGGAATATATTAACTATCATTTACAACTTTTAAAATTGTGTACCACAAGATATCACCCCTATACCAGAGGAAGTGTCTAGATGAATGAAATTACTTGAAAGCATTGGCAACAACAACTCTCGAACTATCTCTAGGTTAAAGCCACTACTTGGACAAGCTTGCTCGAGTGAATTGAAATTCGAATTGAGCATATTTTTAAATATACCGTCACAAACAGAGGCGACTGGACCGGGAGAAGCTACGGTTACAATGGCGTCATCGAACTAGAAGGTTCATTTGGGGACATGTTACTGTGATTACTAAGGGTAAATTGGGTATGAAAAAATAAATTGTATTAATAATTTTTTTTTAGTAAATTTCATTTTAAGTAGTTACAAAATTTTATTAATTACAATTATCTCTCTTTCTCTCACTTCCGTATTCTCCAGCCCGATCCTCTTTCCTTATTTTTTTCAATCTTTCAGCAAAAGAAAAAAACACGAAATCACTACCAATCCATTAGACAACCACTACCACTTTGAAAAATATCAATACCATTGCAGAAATAAATCTATATCATGACACGGAAACTACCAATATAAATAATCTATTCCAATGCAACAAAATTAATACCAATGCGACAAAAAACAATACCATTGAGACGAGAGGGCCGAAGATAAAAGGATGGTAAGAGCTGTCGATTGCTTTGACGACCTCCGCGGTCCCGTACTCGCCCAGGTAGCTTGTCCATCGGCTCCTCCCTGCTTTTTGATATATATATATATAGAGAGAGAGGGTCTTGGGATGGGGTGGGGAGGAGGGGGGGGGGGGAATGGAGGGTGGGGGTGGGTAAGAGCTGGGGGAGGGGATGATAGGTGGGATGAGGGAAGGCGGCGGGAGGGTGGGGGAGGCGGATGGCGGGAGGAGAGGGGAGGTGGGAGCGTGGAGAGGGTAGACGTAGGGTTGGGAAAGTAAGTTATAAATATAGCTAATAATATGGTGTGATAATATTTTGCTTTCAAAACTATTCTTAATTTAATATTGACCGTCATTTTAAAATATGAAAAATTAGATCTAAGGAAGGGTTTAGATGTAGGTAGCCACGATGGTTACTAAAAAACTAGTATCCACCCTACCACATTCCAGTTCCTTTGACTCAATGAGAGTAGCGAGAGAAAGTAGCCAAAACTAAACTTACTCAAATGTGTGACAAAACATAATGAAAATGAAATGTGGGTTGATTAGGTGCTTTTAGAAGTCGGTTTCCTTATTAGAGTCCTGGTTTTTAATTCCAATAAAGACTTTCATAGATGACTCGATTTCGTTCTTGGAGAACTCTATGTTACACTAATTTGTCCAGTAATTAATCTCATATAAGAAAATATTTTACTTTGTTGATATTTTTATTTATTTATACTACTCAAGTAAACATGAAAAGAATGTAACTTTGGGAGATATATTAATAATCATAAACAATATTCATAATAAATTTTTGAATTTTAATAATTATCATTATCAAATTCCAATTGGCCAATGAGTCCAGACAAAATTAAATGGAGTCTAAAAGAAAATTAGCAATGATTTGTAAAATAAAGTATAGCAAGATAAATTTTGTAGGAGTTAGCTTATTTGCATTATTGTATGCGTGCAATTTGGATTTTCGGATTCATGTTTGACTCCGTTAGAATGTTGATTTTTTTTAGATATATGTTCCTTTCTTATATTTCAGTAATATAAAAAGTGAATTTTATATGGTACTAATAAAAATGTATATTACTTAATACAATTGGTATTGTTTATATTATTAACGAAATGCATCCGACCAACGGATAGACCCAAATCTATCTATCTATCTATCTATCTATCTATCTATCTATCTATCTATCTATCTATACATACATAATATTATGGCAATTCAAAATTAAATTTTTGCCACATAAGCACTTGGAGAGATCTCAAGTTGTCAAGGTGGACAATTTTTTACCAAAAAAATAGTTATTGACCTATTTATGGAGTTGTCTCTCTCTCTCTTCATTTAATATTTAATTCTCTTTTATCCAATAATTATTTTGCTTTTGTTTTTGCATTATATCTATAAATAATATATGGAGAGAAAGGTTATCAAACCGGTTTAGCAAGTGGAATGGTTTTATCAGTGGTACAACCGATTTGTGTCGTTTCATGTCGGTTAATAAAATATGTAGAAATATAAATAATTATTAATATCAAATGAATTTAATCATATATAAACCATATTTGAAGACAATTTACGTACAATTCATATTGATATTTAAATGAAATATGATATTTCAAATAAAATTACATGTACTCATACTTAAATTCATTAAAACTACGTAATTTACTTAGAAATTCGTAATACGATCATAATTTAAACAAACACACAACAATAATAATATTTTGTAGATAAGGTCTGAAGAAACTTGAGCAAGATATAATAGTTATTTATTAAAAAAGCTTCTTATTCATTATGATTAAGTGAAAACATATGAATCGCATGTGCAGTATTTATAATGTATCCTAAGTTCACATTACTAATATTTTCTCTAGGTCATGTTGATTGAGCAAGCTCTAATGAGGTCTTACATCATATGCTAAGAAATTTTCTTTTCAGACTTGGAATTATTTATTGTTAAAGATTATAAATTGAAGTTTCCAAAATGACTTGAGTATAATAGTTGATGAACTTTGACTTCATATTCTAAGATGAGACATGAGATCACTTGAAAAATGAAATGCGTGAAATTTAGAGAAATCTTTGTTAAGGATGTACGTTAAACGTCACATTTCATGCTAAGAAAAATCTAAATTCGAAGATTGAGGTAATAAATAAACATTAATGTTTTACTTCGCATATATAACAAAAAACATTTATAGTTACAATAGTGTAAACCGAGCTATTGGGTCAAAAGAAGAATATTTAATAAATATGAGTTTAGTAAGAAAATTGTAACAAGTCTATATACTTGTGAGTTTGTGATCTCATACCAAATTTTGGCAATAATAAAATAAATTTATATCATATTCCACCCAAGGAGGCAGGAGCTGAGTTCAAAGGTATTAATTAGTGTTGAAAGTAAAATAAACTCTCTGTATATATATGTTTAGATATTAACAATAGATGTGTCTTCAATACATCCAATAATTGAAATACACGTGAAAAAGCCACAATGTTTGTATGAACTTTTAAATTTTGCTACAAAATATTTTGTTAAAAAATTATAAGTTAATTATTCAAGGAATACATAATTTTGAATGCACCTGAAATATTTGTCGGTCGTATACACACTTTACCAATTACTAATATTAGTAATGAAATTTTTGTTCTAGAACAAACACCAAATATAAAGAAATTTTAGTGAATGGACATTCAAATAGTTGAAAAGTTATACATTGAAGGAACATGTTGAGATGAGAACCTTCGATAGTGTATATGAATCCTTGGATTCAGTTTTTTTTTCTTATCAATCCTTGGATTCAGATTCTAAACGAACATCTAGACAAAAGGCATGAGTTGAGGGTTAGTACAAACTTAAAATATTAGCATTTGTAATAAGTTGCTATACAAAGACTTCATGAACATCAACAATAAAAATGAGTGAGGTTTAGAGAATTTAATCATTTTAAGGGATACGATGTGTGTCAAATTTCAATTGGGATAAACATAATTTATCCAGTAATCAAGTATATTTTTCCAATAATTTGAACTCTGATTAATTAGGTGAGAGTTCGTACAAACTCGAGAATCATGAATTGATATATGTTGTATAAGATAATAAATTTGAGCGTCTTGGTAGAAATTTTTTTATATATGATCCTAATGGGACGTGATAAACCTTTACGACATGATTATGATAAGAGAATAAAAATATCCCAAGGGAGTGTGCTAACTATTAAATATTATTCGATATAGACATACCACATATTCACTTATGAAGCGAGAGCATAAAATGTATACAAGATCCAAAAAGTTCAAAACATGTAGATAAGTTAACTAATATAAATAATAAAATGAATTTCTCCGGCCAACTGGCCAAGTAGAAAACTAGTCTAATATTATAGTAGTTGTTATATTAATCTCCTATCTGTAGCTCTAAATTGCAGCATTAGAGTAGTCATGATATTAATCTTGTAGTTATTATAATCCCAGCAACAGTATAATTGTCTGTAACGTAATGTTTTGCTAATCTCCTATCAAAGCTTAGGGGGCCGATGAAAGAGTCAAGTACTCAAGTCTAGGATCAATGAAATTGCATGTGTGTGTGTCGGTCAATTAATCTCAATTTTGAGAAAAAAAACCAGTGGGGTTCTTGGTGATCAGTGTCCAGTGAAGTGGGTGTTTAGGTTGAATCAACGGAAGAAAATAATACTGTTGGCGGGATGCAAAGAGCCCGAAATTGCTCAACATGTCCCGTAACTTGGAGGGTACGTGTCCTGAGCGTGTCCCGCGGTTAATATCCCCAGTATCATAATCGCAGCATTCAAGATGTGCCCGGGACGCACACGAGTTTGTACGCCACGGCACGGAAATTAAATATATGAGTCAGCCCAGCAGAGCATAAATTGTATATAAGCCATATCATGTCTAAATTTCATGTGTACAAGCATGGGTATGGTACGGTATGTAAATCGACAGTGTCTGATCTAATATTTTCGAAACATTATTGAGTATAAGAACGGATGTAGCACAAAAAGGAAATTAATTTGATAAAAAAATAAATATAAAAAGAACTATAGGTTCAAATATAAATACAAAAATAATTATTTTTATTGTTAGAAGTGATCTTAAAGATATATACGTAATTACTACCATAACAAAAAACAAACGAAGAATTAAACAAAATAACTTCACACTCATTATACTTCCAATTTTCCCCCCTTTGTTATTACATTTCTCAAACATTCTCGGTTAATACTTTCATTTTCCGTCCAATTTTCTCATTTTTTTCATTCCCTTTTTTATTTTCTTCTTTTTCGTTAAACACAAATATGAGCACACCACGAACAGGCACTGCATGATTCAAACCGTGCCCGACCCCCGGCCGAGCCTAGCAAAAGTAACAATGGGCTTGCACGGTACGACACGAAAACTGACTGGTCTTGCCAAACACGGCACGAAAAAAATGGGCTCGAAACGTGCCTGTGTCGTGCTGGTCTAAGCACGGCCCAACGCCATGTACAGTCCTGTCCCTTCAAAACTTCCAATTAGGCCACATTTATTTGCATAGCGATACGCGAAATAAGGCTAGCCGGAGTTTCTCAGACAAGGTCCCGAGTTCGATCCCAACGACAACGATGATTCTTGTAGTATCATTTGTCAATTGTAAGATAGCTTAGTGGTGTTGTCGTAGGGTAGGTCGTCCCGAGATGTTTGAGGTACTAGGTTCGATATCTCGCGAAACCCGTGTTATGTTCTCAGAGGTGTCCAGCCGCTGGGGGGCGAAGCTCTGTTAATTCATAAAATTGCAGTAGGTGACCTCCGGGTTTGAACTCGCTCTACCATCTAAAAATTGTGGTGTGTGCATGTGGACGTTACTGGGTAATAAAAAAATTGCATAGCAATATGCGACATTGCAGTTGGGTTTCGAGGATGATTTTCAGAGGCCGATACGAGCTCCCAAACAAGCACAACTATAGAATGGATCTTCCAATTGTAAGATAGCCTAGCGATGTCGCCGTATGGTAGGTCGGTTTGAGATGTGTGAGGTACTGGGTTCGATGTCTCGCGAAGCCTGTGTTGTGTTCCCAAAGGAATCTAGCCGCTGAGAGCGAAGCCCTATTGGCACATAAAATTGCAGCATGTGACCTTCAATTTGACCTCGCTCTGCCATCACAAAAATGTGGTGTGTGTGGTAATAAAAAAATAAATTGCATAGCGATATGCGGCTTTGCAAATGGGTTTCGCGGACAATTTTCAGAGGATACGGGCTCCCAGACCAGCCCAGCTAGAGACTGGACCGATTTCTTGGGCTCATATTCTAGGCCCGTCTAGTTAGCCCTCCATCAAATTTAACTTTCCCGCCTTTTCGTCTGAAATAGACAGGAAAGAATTTGTGACCGGGAGGGAAAATAATAAAAATAAATAAATGAAAAAGGCGTGTAGTCTCACTCCCACCGTCGGGCAGCTAATATCCCAATCGTCTCTCTGGAATACAGATCGCAAGGGGCTGATTTCCGAATATTCGTGGGGATGTCGACGTGGCGAATCTTCTCAGACGCCGAAAATGATTTCCGGTGGGAGGTTTCCGGCGCGGTGGCGCAATCGAACTTACCGGTCGAGTCGAAGGTTTATCCGGTCTCACCCGTCAGCTCCAGTTCTCGCCTTCCCTCCATGGCTGACCTCTTGCTTGAAGGTTTTCTTTCACTTGGCTCTGCTCGTATTATGTCGATATCTCTGCGTTTCCATGGCTGATTCCTTCAATTTCTACAGGCTGTCCGAAGCTTCTCGAGAACGCTAAAGACGGCGGTGGGAGTGCTCCGATTTTTCGAACTGGATCGGGGAAATCCGTGTCACTGAAACAATCTTCAATCGCCAAAGCTTTGTCAGTTCTCAGCGATGGGGACGGCTTAGGCACAGGTACAATTTTAATCTCGTTTCCCTTGTTTCTTCACGCGATGCAAAGAACCCTAACTTTCGGTCATTGCTCTAATTAGAATGAGGCCGAAGAGTAGTGCACAGACTTGTGATGTGACAACAGTTTTCATGTGTTTCGGTGATTAGCACTTTACCTTTGACAGTCATTTGCTTGTTACTCTATCGTGAAATGCTTTCTGAGAGACGGAGATTGCAGCTGGCTACGCAGGTGAAGCATACAATGGAGACGTTCCAAGCAATTTCTCCAACTCACTTTTCCAAACTGCATCTGGAAAATCAGTTGGCTTCACTTCTGCTGGTCTTTCCAAAGCCAGGAGTTTGTTGGGAATGACAGAAGACGGAGGCAATGCTTCTAGTTTTGAAGGGTTCCAACGTCCACAAAGATCATCTTTCGCAAAAGTGCACACTGGTGGGCTGGGTTTTACTCATTTGGGGATGAGAGATGGTGCTAGCAAGGAAATGCCAGGTTCCAGTCCAGCCACACCTTATAAAACTGGTTTAGCAGGAAGTAGACTTTCGAAAGAGTTTACCCCAGACTCATTGCTGTCCAAAGTGTATGATCCAGCTGCTAAACCACCTCCAATCAAGTTCCAGACAGCCGGGGGTAGATCGTTATCCGTTTCAACTGATGCACTGCAACGTGCAAGAAGCCTTCTTGGGGACCCGGACTTGGGCAGTTTCTTCAATGTGGGTGATCCGGCCATTGCTGTTTCTGAAGAGAGAAGAACCAGTGACTCTTCGTTCAGCAAGGTCAAAGATGTGTATGCTGGATTTACTTATCCTGGTGCTGCAAGGAGTAAATATACTCAAAAGAATTTCGTACCCCCTCTTAAAGCATCTTCCAACCAGTTTCAAGGGCTGCTTAACTCGGAAAACGTTTCAATAGGGAGCAACTTGCTCAAGCAGTTTGATGCTGTTGGGAACGACTGTATAAATGGCTATGTGAACAAGGAGAATAGTCTTATGAGTTATAAGACCGGTATGGATGATCATGCAAGACTCAACACCATAGGAAATGGGTCTGGTTTGAGAAGTATTCAAGTAGCAAAGCCATGTCGGGGGCCGTTGGCTGACATCTCCAATACCGTGCACACAAATTGCGCAGACGGCAGACAAGTGGGCGGTGGAAAGAGGAGACTGAGGGGTGGAATATCTGTTTCCCCATTCAAGAGGCCAAGAAACTCCAAATTCATCACCCCTTTGAACAAGAATCATTGCCCCAGTGGTAAGCCAGAAGAATTGTTCTCTATGTTCATTTTGTTATGACATTCACACATGTATGTGCTTCTCCAGGTTTATCGGTGGTGTCATCTCAGATTCCTTGTAGCCGAAAAAGGGTCTCCACTAGGTATCCTGCTCAGACTTCAAGGATGCATATCAAAGAATACTTCGGGGTGGCCCTTCCTCGCCACAGAGAGGTATATAGCACTCCATTACCTCATACATCATATGGTTGATTTTGGTTTTTCATCTGATCTACTACTATGTTTCTTGTGCAGTTGGAACAGCAAGCAGCTTGTATCACATCCCACGCTGCATCTACCTATTCTTTCCCAGATCAACTGGGCACGAATTCCATTGGAGTAGAAGCCTGTCGCCGCATGCTTGTTCAGTCAGGAGCTTCTGAGCAATGTGCTTCCGAAGAGTAAGTGTCTCATCATTCCGTCGTTTGAGACTTTCAACGTGGATGTCCCAAGTTCCAATAAATAAGCAATAAAAACTGCCGGTTTGAAGTTAAACCAGCAACGAGCGACTAGCGTTTCTTTGATGCATGGAATGGAAATTTGAATTTCTCATTGCTGATTCACGTTGTTGTACTCTTTCAAGGTGGGTTACGAATCACTACAAGTGGATAGTTTGGAAACTGGGATGCTACGACAGATTTCGTCCGGTGAAGGCGGCTGCGAAATTTTTGACGATCACTAATGTCCTCGAAGAACTGAAATACAGGCAGGTGGATTTATCTTCGTCTACTTGATTGTCCTTTCATGCATCAGAGTCTAGTGACGTGATTTGTTTTCATAGATATGAAAGAGAAGTAAACCATGGACATCGATCTGTACTCAAGAGGATATTGGAAGGCGATGTACCTCCTTCTTCGATGATGGTCTTGTGTATTTCGGCAGTTTGTGCTAATTCTGAAGCAGAGGCAGAGGATCGTCCACCGGAATCAAATAGCCCTCTAGGTGGTACTGCGGCAAAAGTACAGCTGACTGATGGATGGTAAGACTGGCTACGGTGTTCTACTTGCGATGTCCTTAGTATAACCACATTGATGGCTTACAGGTATGCAGTGGATGCTCTATTAGATATGCCGTTGTCAAAACTTCTTTCAAGTGGGAATCTTTTTGTTGGACAGAAACTTAGGGTGAGATTTTGACTATAATGAATCGTCTTTATACATTGAACCTGAGAAAGTTCATCTTACTGGCTACCAACCTTGTTCCTTGTAAAGGTTTGGGGAGCAGGATTATCTGGATGGGCTGGCCCTGTTTCTCCACTTGAGGTTCATATTTTCTTAGTTTTTTCTCCAATTTGTCTTGTACCTGTTTCGCCACTTGAAGTTCAATTCTAAAGCGTTTCATTTTCAGTGTAATTTATCAGATGTCTGCTTTATTTCAGGCATCAAACGCCGTCAGTTTGCTGTTGCATACCAATGGGACTTATAGAGCTCATTGGGCTGATCGACTTGGATTCTGTAAGCACCATTTGGATTGTGGTTTTTCTTTTGTCTCAAATCTCATGAAGCGTAACAAGACTTGCTTCAATAGGTAAGAGAACCGGTGCTCCTTTGGCCTTCAGGTGTATCAAGAGCAATGGCGGCCCTGTTCCCCATACGTTAGTTGGAGTTAGACGCATCTACCCTGTTCTCTACAAGGAGAAGTAAGAAGTGATAGGGCTCTTTCACTACTTAATTCCTTCAACTAATGTTCTCTTTCCAATATGAGAAATGTTGATAATTTTTTGGTCTTCCTCTGTAGGTTTGGTGGAGGTGGATCTATCGTGAGGTCAGAGAGAATGGAGGCTAAGATGTTGCAGGTGTATAACGACAGGTGATTTCTATATGTCTGAGCTTAAAAAATCTTCACTGGACTTGGATACGAACAGATTACGGATTGCTAGTAGCTCACTATTGCATTTGTTGGTTGTTCTGGCTGCAGGAGATCAGTTGTGGTGGAGGGTGTAGTTTTGGACATGCAAAGGGGAACCGAAAGCTCTCGACCGTACAACGACAGTGATAGTGAAGAAGGCGCAAAGCTTTTGAAAATACTGGAGACGTCAGCTGAACCAGAAGTTCTGATGGCAGGGATGAGCTCAGCGCAACTTGCTTCTTTCACTTCGTATCAGGCAAAACTACAGGTGCGCACCATCTTTGCTCAAAAGTTAAGTTTCGTAAGTTGAACTGGAGAACAATTAATCACCGCTGGTCTAATGCTAGGCAACCAAACAATTAAACATGGACAAAGCAATCGAGAAAGCTTTCCGGGATGCTGGGTTAGAGGAGAGAGACGTTACCCCCTTTATGAGGGTCAGGGTGGTCGGGTTGACAACTGGTGGTCAAGGAAATATCAGATCACAAGAAGGTTTGATAACAATATGGAATCCAACAGAGAAGCAGGTGAGAGTTCGAGTGTTTTGGTACTCTTGCCTTATTTGATCCTTAATTACTGCTTAATGCGATCTTTATCATTATTACAACAGCAGCTTGAGCTGGTGGAAGGACAGGCGTATGATGTTGCAGGACTAGTGCCTGTGAACTGTGATTCAAATACCCTTTACTTACAAGCAAGAGGACCCGGAAACAAGTGGAAACCCCTGTCTCGTTCTCAGGCACAATCTTTTGAGTGAGTCTCACTTTTCTTCAGTCACTAAAGTAAATCGAATAGTGGTTAACAAGTTATTTCCTTGCAGGCCCTTCTTCACTCCTCGGATGTCCATCACGTTATCAAACTTGGGTGAAGTTGCATTTGGCAGGTAATTCTGACAGCTTCAGCTATTTTTGCAAAAATCACCGTCTTCTGATTCTGTTGTTTGGCTGTTGCAGTGAATTCGATATGGCTGCAGTTGTTGTGCATGTGGGGGAGGTTTATAAAACTGGGGTGGCCTCGAAACAGTGGGTATTTGTGACTGATAACTCCATCTCCACGTTGAATCCAGAAGCTGCGAACTCCATACTAGCTTTAAGCTTTGGCTCCCCTCGGGAAGACAAGGATTCAGCTGCTCCTCCAGTCAACCACAATCTAGCGGGGTCAACAGTGAGTTCACTACTATTCTTTTTGCCGTTTATAGAGCTTCTTGCATTACTTAGCATCTTTTGTAATGCTGCAGGTTGGCTTCTGCAACATTATCAAGAGGAAGAAGGATCAAATAAATGAGCTATGGATAGCTGAAGCAACGGAGAATTCGACTTACTACCTTACCTTCGACTCCCGAAATTGCTCCCATCTCAAACAGACTGCCGCGTCCGTTCAAAGCTGGGCCAAAGTTTCCCGCTCGGTATGGTTTAAGAGTTCCTACTGCCGGTGGTTGTAGCGTAAAGATAAACCTGCTGAAGATTGCTTATATCCATCATTTGGCTGATAATTAGCGTACTGCTTCGTTCTGTTTTGTGTAGGTTATCAGCAGGCTGAAGGAAAAGGTTCTAAACATCGTTGATGGTTCGTGAAGCAAGAAGTCAGAACAGGAGTTGCAAGTTCTACTGTACATTAGATCAGTTTCTCATGCAAAAGCAAGCATTCCGCTTTTAAGGGAAGCATCCGATCAAGCTCTCATGGCGTTGGACAAAAAGGAAGCAAGAATTCCACTATTCCAGCTTGATTTAACAGGGAAAATCGTATTAACGCTTAATTAGAAACTAATGTAGTTCAGCATTCTCGACATTCTGTAAATATTTAATGCCTCTAATCCCCCATGTTGGTAGGGAAATTTTGCTACGTTTACTAATCATGCTTAGTAAAACTCTAAACAGGTTCTCTGATGATAGTTCAATTATAGAAATTTTCCATTGGTGAAAAAAAATCATTAGAGAAGTAAACAAGTGAATCTTTGGTTATTTAGCAAGGGCTACAAGAAGTGGAAGAGCAATTCATTCCAGACATCAGGCACACCAGGCAGGCACCAATGTATGCAGTCGGAGTAACTAGGAGGGTTAGCTAGCTGTTCTGGGGGTAGCGTCTCCCAAAACTTGCGGTATATCGAAGGGTGTCCGTCTTTTCGATACTCTGAAAGCTGTGTTACATTGATAACTGAAACCCTTGTTCCAAGCTTGCGCAGGACATTTTCAACCATTCTCATTGTGGGTAGATCGGAACCACTTCCCCAGTAGCCTTCATTGTCAATCGGTGCTTTCTCATCGTAGCAGTTCCCCTCACTTCCAGCCTTCCACTCTCTGCTCCTGAATCACAAGGCCGAAACATTGTTTCTAGTTAGCATATCTAAGCTAGGTAATGAAGAGAGAACCACTCTAGAATATTGTAGTAAATTCTTGACTGAATTGATCCGGTATCTGCGCCCCAACAACCCGCTTTTACGCAGGGGGGTTCTCATACTCACCAGAGATGTGTTGGAGACATTGTTACAAAAAATATCTGTTTGTCAAGGTATTTGGATTTAGAAGCTAGACGGTCTGCCCAAGTCTGCATGACTAACTCCATAGCTCCTAATCCATCTAGTTCTTCACAAGACGCATTCTCTTGATCGCTCCATCTGCAAAGAGTTAGATGCAAACAGTTAATAGCTAACTCATAATAACTGTGAAGTCATCTTCCTGTCACCAATAAAAGTTGAACCCAGGTCATTTCTTCACTCACAAGAGCTTCACAGGGCCTTGCCTCCACCACAAGTAAGTGTTGAACACAAGTATATCAGCATGCTCCCACTTCGCTGAATGCTTTAGAACCGAATCTGGTCGTATTATCCTCTCATCCAATCTGTGATTCACAGGGTCATCTGAGTTTGAATCAACCAGCAGCGGAGCCCACAGAAACTCTATGGTGGCATTGTAGTTCTGAAGATGGCACAAACAAGAAGTTGCAGCTGACAAATCTTAGTCACCAAATGGATAATGTCATGGATTGTGAAACCATTTTCAAGATTGCACCAGTTAAATTGTCTAACTGTTCAAGCTATAAATAGAGCTATAATAACAAACTTGGGGTTTAACCAATTCAGCTGGTCAACCTATCACAAACAGCGGATAAGGGTCCTGACACATGTCCACTATTGCTTACCTCTGCCTTGAAAATGGTAAGCTGAGAATTGGGAGTGATGGATCTCTTCTCAGCTGGAATCACGGACTGTAACAAACAAATCATTGATATCCACTGCCCTCTGTTCAGTGAATCCCCAACAAACATCAGCCTCTTCCCTCTCAGTTTCTCCCACATTTCAATTGCATTCCATCTGTGCAGCACACCACCAAGTGCTCAAATTTAGAAAGTACTGAAAGAGCAACAGAAATGGAAAACTACCATTGGGATAGTTAACTTCATACCTCTTCAAATTGCAATTATGAGGCTGCCACCTCCAATGCTGATACCCCAAATCAGACCTCCCATGCTTGTGACACGCCAATTGGTCAGACATGTAAGGGCAGTCTGATTCATTGTAGAGTGGATACGATTCATCATCAAAGACCCATTTCCCAGAGAACACATCACACCTCTCTAAACTCTCCCTCTTCCTCCTGCCGCCGCCAGATTCCGGTTTCAGGCCGACCCACCTGATTTTCTTCCCACTGTACTCCCCAGTAGTGTTGCACCTGCTGAACCTATCTAACTCTAAAGGGGAAACACAACGGAGAAACTTCCCATTATTGATCTGGAAACCCAAAGTTACAGAAAGAAGTTAGTAAGACGAGCATACCTTGGATGTAATCGGAGGTGGGTTCGAGATTGGGGTTGATGTAAGTGAAAGTGCTCTCTGGGGATGAATCTGATGGGTTCTTTTCGATTATGAGAATGGTTCTTTCACTGAAGAGGACGGAGCAAGCTATGAAGACGAGCAAGATGAACCCCAATAACGGGAAGTGGGATCGCTTTCTGTTCCTCCATCTCTGCATCATCGTCATCACAACGGGGAAGACAAAAGTCAGGCGCAGCTGACGGATTGAATTCAAAGGGTTTCAACTTCTTCTTCCATGACCGCGACTCGTGATTTATTAATTCTGAAAATTTTATGCTTTACAGTAAGAAAAAGGGAAGAAAGACGGGCTAATAGTGGAGGACTGACAACAGAGCGGAGGCCGGAGAGTAAGTGCACATAATTTAAGGCGTACTAATTGTACAGCCGACACAGATTTTGTTAACCAAATCAACTAATCTATTCCTTTTTAAAGTGTAATTACCCGAAACCCAAACATCGAGTGCGGAAGAAACGATGCTCGTTGGTTTATGATAGGGTGGGCAACGGGAAACGGGTATTTGGGTATACCCATACCCGTCCCGTTTTATGAGGGTTACGGGTACCCAAATACCCGTAATTTTTTTTACGGGACGGGTAACCCGTGGGTACCCGTTAATACCCATTTGGGTATTACGGGTACCCGTACTACCCGCACTCCTCCATTCATCGATTCTTCTGCTACCTTGGCTCTCTCCTTCCATTAACTCAATCCATGAAGAGAGGAAGAACATGTTGTCATCTGGCGGTGCCATTGGAGGAGATGAAGAAAATGGTAGTTGGGTAGAGGATTCGAAGTCACGCAAGCTCAACTCCAGGAATTCTGGTTGGGTTCTTGTTTTTTCTTTTCATATATGTTAAGTTGATTTAACTTTTCCTGCCCGTTTTACAATTTGGTCTGAATTTCTTTGTAGATGCAGATTTGATGAAGGAGAGGTTCGCAAAATTGTTGCCTGGAGAAGACATGTCAAGTTCTGGGAGAGGGGTTTGCACAGCTATGGCTATCTCCAATGCTATTACCAATTCCAATATCAGTGGTAAGGCTCTCTCCTTCTCCCATGGTGTATGTAAATCTCAACTCAATGTTGACATATGATACGACTCCTTTTACGTGAGATTTTCATGGGTACGCGTTATCCGTCCCGTACGGGTAATGGGTATCCGTTAACCCATACGGGTTGGAACATGGGATGGAATTTTCTCTTCAAATGGGATTGGGTACCCGTTTCAAACGGGACGGGTACCCAGTCCCGTCCCGTTGCCCACCCCAAGTTTATGAAACAAGTGATGAGGGTTGGTAAGTGTTTTATTTTACTTATATAAATGGATGCACCATTCACCATTGAATTCGTCAACAACAATTATAACATGTTCGACTTATTCAAACAAAGTTAGAATGTGAATGTTTGATGTTTTAAAGACTTATGGAACAAATTAATTTAGTTATCGCCTCGTTTAAGTGTTGCCGTCTCGTCGTGACTAGATGAGGTTGAAGCCTCATCGCTTTATCTCAATGATGAAGTTTCAATAACACCATTGACACACTACCCTCATCTCGTTACTTAGTCCACCTTATCGGCTTGCTAGCCATCTCAATGAATCCGTCTTATTAGCTAGGCCTTGTTTTCATCTTGGTGAAAGGAGAAATTAGCCTTTTCCATGTAAGTACAAAACTCTTTACCCATTAGGACCACATACTTAGTCTTGGAGAGCTCAACCTGGTACCATCTTGTCGCTTGGGTACCACGTCCATCTCATCCACTTGTTACCAAGATGACTTGCCACAAAGCTCATCTCACCGGTTTGATACCTTCTTCCTTGCCACCATGCCCGTCTCGTCAGGCTGGTACTCCGTCAACTTGCCACCAAACCCGTATTGTCAGCTTGATACCTTACCGACTTGCCGACAAGCACATCTTGCCAGCTTATTAACAAGTCCGTCTCATCGGCTTGATACCTTCCGGTTACTGATAACGATGTAATTGCACATATTTGCGCCCCTAGTTCTTATCCGTTTGAGAGGCATAGTCGTGTGTTTTTTGCCTATTTTACGCCGGGTTGTGCTATTTTGTCATATTTCAGGTCCCAGGCGTCAAAGGAAAGGCTAAGCACGAGTTTCGGGGCATTCAGAAGTCATTTCGGTGAGCTGGAGCCAAAACACAGGCACACCTAAAGCATTACACGGCCGTGTTCTGTGGCCGTGCTTTTACTGCCGAGAGCAAATTCGAGTTGGCAAAATCAAGCCAAAACACGGGCACAAAGCACGGCCGTGTCCACCCAAAGCACGGCCGTGCCCATCACCAAACACGGCCGTGTTTCGCCCAATGCACTGGCCGTGTAATTAACCCTAGCCAAAACACGGGCGGGCTGAGGCATTACACGGCCGTGCCCTCGACCGTGCTTTGGCCACTGATGCCCTTTTAAGCAGATTTTCAGCCAAAGAGAAGGGGATTCGAGTTTTTGAGAGATAGAACGATTCCTAGAGAGAGAAAGCGACGAACAAGAGTCTCCAAGTGCCCTAGATTGATCTTCAACACCATTGGAGGCCAGTTTGAGCTTGGAGAAGTGCCGATCAACGTCCAGAAGCAGGAAGAAAGCAGGAATTGATACGGTTTTCTCAAGCAGGTAAGAGTCAACCGACGCACAAGTCATCTCATAGCTTCTTCGGCGAGAGCACTAGTATCGAGTCGGCATCATGGCAAACAGTGAACAGAGGACAAATGAATTGTGGATGAAGAGATTCTCAAAAACAAAGGATCATGGACTCACATTTTTCAAGGTGCTCTATTTCCTTCTTGAAGATGGTTGGAACCCCTTTTCTTTCTGTTTTGCTTGTTTTCTGTTATTTTTTTTCTTTTTTTTTCTTTCAAGGGTCCCAACCTGCTCTTACCGGCCATGCCAGGAGCGGATGTCTCGAGCCTCGTGCGCGAGAAAGACATGTAAGGGGGCTGGAGGTAGTAGGTGGAAATTGGGAACGAATTCTCGTCTCCCCTTACACACTTTCGCCCTATTCGCACGGGAGACGTTATTTTGAAGCACATTTTCGAGCACCTGTTAAACTCAAAACATGATACAAGAGTCCATGACAGGTGGAGAGTCCACAACACCACACAATTCAAGGGTCCTAAGATCACTAATTCACTCAATCAACCAACACAATATGAAGAAGAAACGAGATTTCTTAAATGCATCAACATCCTCCATAGTGCTACACTACCTCCCTAGGTTGCATATTACTATAAAGACTGTCAATTCAAAGCATAATGAGCAGGCAATTGCACTGAACACGTAATTGGAGCCCTCAAATTTAAAAATTTGGACAGTGGACTAGGCTCTAAGCACACAAACAGATCTAATGCAGTCAAAAGATAAACATCCCCCCACACTTAAGATCGACATTGCCCTCAATGGAGAAGAGGGAAGGGAAAGGGAACGATGTTACCGGTATGCACGGACTGCAGGAGACTGGAAACGGATCAGTCGGAGTGAAGCGGACTGGAGAGAGGACCAGTCAGGGCAAGCACAGCCAAAGGAAACCAAAGAGCTCAAACACAATATGTTAGGTCCAATGGTCAGCCCAATAAAACATCATCCAAAACAAAAGAAAACAAACCAAAACCAAACTGGTTTACAATCCGACTCAAAACACAAGAAAGAAAATCAAACCGTGGTGGGGTTGCCTCCCCACCAGTGCTTCTTTACCGTCTTTTAGCTGGACGCCCATGGTGGATACTCAGGGAGGTGCAGGAACAGGTGCCTCCAAGAGCGGATCCACGTCGCTCTTGAGGTACAACTTCAGGTTGTGGCCATGCACCCGACGGATGCGACCACCATCATCGGTCAGCTCGACCTGGCCATCCGGCAAGATGCAGGCGAGTGAGTACCCGGACGGCCAGGGTGGTCGTGGTGCAGGAGGTGGGACCAGCTCATAGTGGTCTCCACTCTTCTTCCGTGCAGCCTTAGCAACCTGCTGCTTCGGCCGCCACTCCTCCTTGAGCTTTTTGTTCGGAGGCGAGGCTGGATGGAGTGGCGGCGAAGGAATGATAGGAGGGTCCTGCAAAATAAGAGGTGCAGAAGGATACACGACAGGCTCGTGTACCTGATCATAAATGGCATGTACAGGCGTGACAGCAATCATAGCACAATGATCAAATTCAGTCACAGAAAAAGTAGCCTGTTCATTCCCAGCACGCAGGATCAGTTTACCATCATGCACATCAATAAGTGCCTTGGCGGTGGCAAGAAATGGTCTACCCAGAATCAAAGGCACATCCACATCCACATGTATATCAAGAATAACAAAATCAACAGGATATGTGAATGCACCGACACTGACAAGCAGATCCTCTATGATTCCCCTAGGATGCACAATGGAACGATCAACTAGCTGAATGCTCATCCTAGTAGGGCTAAGTTCACCTAGGTCTAGCTTTTTATACAACTTATATGGAATGACGTTTATGCTAGCGCCTAGGTCCGCCAAGGACTTGCCTACATGCATGCTGCCAATAGTAAGAGGGATAGTAAAACTCCCTGGATCCTTGCGCTTTTCGGGCAGCTTGTTCTGCAGGATAGTAGAACACTCCTCACTGAGCATCACTGTCGAAAGATCCCCAAGTTTCTTCTTGTTGGTGAGGAGATCTTTCATGAATTTGGCATACTTGGGCATCTTCGACAGTGCCTCCACGAACGGTATACTGATGTTGAGCTGCTTCAACATTGCCATAAACTTGGCAAACTCAGTCTCCAACTTGTCTTTGTGTAGGCGAGTGGGGAAGGGAAGCTGGGGTACATGCTCCTTAACCACTGGTTGTGGCTTGGGAGCAGGGGCTTCCTTCTCCACCCGCACTTCCGCATCGTCGGCTGGAAGTGCTGAAGCAGGTAGTGGTTCCTCCTGTCTGGCCGGGACAGGATCAGCAGATATGGTCTTACCGCTCTTGGTAAAAATGGCATCCAGCTGCTGGAGCTGGTAAGGATCCCGAGGATTCGGGATAGTGGTGGCAGGCAGAGTCCTCGGTGCCTTGGTAGTGTTTTGGCGGGCCAAGATGCCCACCTGGGTCTGCAGATCCTGCAAAATGGCACCCTGGTTCCGCTGACCTGCCTCCAGTGACGTGATAGCAGCCTGAGTGCTAGTCATGAATGAAGCTAGAATATTTTCCAGCTTTGTCATCCGGTCATCTGGAGCCGCAGCTGCTGCTGGCTCGGCAAACTGGCGCTGGGGCTGATGGAATGGTTGCCCCTGCCTAGGCTGGTAGGGCTACTGCTGTGGGGCTGGCCCTTGTCGAGCCTGGAAGGGCTGCCTCTGCTGAAAACCACCTACTGGTGCTGGGAAACCAGGTGGTTTAGTGGTGTTGCTGCTCCAGGCGAAGTTGGGATGCTGGCGCCACCCCTCATTATATGTGTTGCTGTACGGGTCGAGGCGCCGAGCATTGGCGATGAAGTCCAACTGCTCTTGGGGAGTGGTAGACTCCCTCATAGCCTGGCAGTCCTCCACTAGGTGATTGGAGCTCTCACACCACTGACATTGAGCCACTAGAGGTGTAGCCAAACCTCTGCCCGGAATAAGACTGTTGGGCTGCTTCAATGTCTGCACTAGCTCAGCTACCTGCTGCTCGAGCCCGGATCTGGTCTCCATGGCGTGCACACCACGGTACCGGGACTGTCTGCCTTGGCTACCCTGTCCCCAAGAATGATCTCTGGCAGCCAAAGTACTGATCATCTGGTCCCAACCTGCTCTCTACCTGTCATGGACTCTTGTTTCTTGTTTTGAGTTTAACAGGTGCTCGAAAATGTGCTTCAAAATAACGTCTCCCGTGCGAATAGGGCGAAAGTGTGTAAGGGGAGACGGGAATTCGTTCCCAATTTCCACCTACTACCTCCAGCCCCCTTACGTGTCTTTCCCCCGCACGCGACTCGAGACATCCACTCCTGGCATGGCCGGTAAGAGCAGGTTGGGACCCTTGAAAAAAAGAGAAAAAAAATAACAGAAAACAAGCAAAACAGAAAAAAAAGGGGTTCCAACCATCTCCAAGAAGAAAATAGAGCACCTTGAAAAATGTGAGTCCATGATCCTTTGTTTTTGAGAATCTCTTCATC